ATAACCTATAACCCACTAGATTAAAAAGCGTTTAATCACTTCGAAAGGTTCCTTCTTAAGTGAGTTGGTTTCGTGCGTAAAAAGTTAACTTAACACTCCACTCATATTTACTAACATCTCTTTTGCTGAGATACTTATTCTTTTATCGAAGATATTTTGAGTGGACTATTATTTTCTGAATCGATTATTGAAGATTTATCTACCCTGGAATTTTCATGAACTACACGATGAAGGTAGTTTCTGCGTGATGATTCATATCTCTAAGAGCCTAAGAGACATATCAGCATTGGCCTCAACATTATATTTCATTCGGAGACTTAATTCATTGGGCTTTTAGACTTTCCAATTTCTGCGAAGACGTTTATACTTATTTGACTTTCGGACTATTAGCCTTGTGGACTTTCAGATTTATTTGAGTATTAGATTTATCTGACTTCTTGGATCTTTAGACTTTCAACTTTATCTGACTTCTTAGACGTTTAGATTTATAAGACTTATAGATTACAGTTAGTATTTGCTAACCCTTTATTTAAGCACCCTTCGCCATTGCGCAAATGTCTTAATATAACAAGCGATCTTAGTTGTCAAAAATAGAGGTTCCTTCAAACTAATGAATGGTTTGTATCTTTACAGATCTTTATATCACTTGCTCGGGTATAAAAGTATTGCGTATCTGATATCCCGATTTATATTGATAACTAAGTCCAAGTGTGTTTCGTAGTAGTTTATTTCGAAAAATGAATTGTTCACTCTCACGCAATCGAGAGCTTATATAGTGCAGATGTGGCTTAACTATTATGCAATAAGTAATGTCATAATATTCACGTAACTATCACATAAGAACAAGTAATTACCCAATAACAAATAACAACTGATTATGCAACAACAACTGTAGTCTTACATGGTGTCTGAGGACAGTAACGCATGTAACAGTATCTTCTGTCTAATGTTTCGAATTGTAGCGTGCTTCGCTGAGTATGTTCGTTCGTAAATATGCACTGATTGTTCATAGTTTCTTAATGCATCATCAAAATGACCTATTTCGGAATAAATATCCCCGATGATTACGTAGGTATTGGCTGACAACGCATCTCCCAAAGGCTTGCTTCGAAGTTGCTTTTTAAGTAATTCGTGAAAATAGATTAATGCATGGTTAAAATCCCCTTTTCCCAAGTACATATTTCCGATGATTGTGCAAGTATCAGCCATCGATGGATGATTCCATGACAGTGTTTCTAGCTGGTTATCAAGCAATTTACGATAATATTTAATTGCTTGATCCAAATGTCGTTTTACAAAGTGCGCATTGTGGACGACTTTGTGGCCATCTGTCAACGATTTGTTTGTCAGTGACCGACTATCAAACATATTGTCCAAATGCTCTAGTCTTTCGTCAAAATGGCGTTTTCTTAAGTAAATATTTCCAATCATTTTGTATGTGTCAGCCACTGATGACTCGTCCAATGGCTCTCTTTGTAGTTGACAATCAAGCAATCGGCTAAAGTAGATGAATGCTTTATCGAGATTACGTTTTTCAAAGTAGATATTTCCAATGATTTCGTACGTATCGGCTAATGATGGGTGTTCCAATGGTATTCTTTGTAGTTCATTATTCAGTAACTTATGAAAATAGATTAACGCTAGATCAAAGTCCCGCTTCTCCAAGCAAACATGTCCGATGATGGTGTACGTATCGGCCACTGAAGGATGTTTCCATGACAGTGTTTCTAGTTGTGTATCAAGCAATTTACAGAAATAGCTAATTGCTTGATCCAAATGGCGGTTTTCAAAGTGAACATTCCCAATGATTGTCTGCGTATCAGCCAAGGAAGTATTTGTCAAAGACTTTCTTTGTGGCCCATTATCAAGCAATTTATGAAAGTGAAGTAAAGTTTGGCCGTAACGACGTTTTTGTAAGTAAATATTTCCGATGATTTTGTACGTATCAGCCACTGATGACTCTTTCAATGGCTTTTTTTGCAGTCTGCAATCTAGCAATCGGTTAAAATATATCAGTGCTTGTTCAAAATTACGCTTTTCCAAGTAAATATTTCCAAGTGTTTTGTATGTATTGACTAAAGATGGATCCTCCAATAGTTTTGTTTGTAGCTTGTTATCCAGTAATTTATGAAAATAGAGTAATGCTTGATCCAAATCCTGTTTTTCCAAATAAATACTTCCAAGAATTTTGCAAGTATTATTTAACGATGGGTCACCAAGTGGCTTTCTTTCAGTCTGACTATCAAGCAATTTATGGAAATAGATTAATGCTTGATCAAAGTCTCGCTTTTCCAAGTAAACATTTCCGATGATGATGTACGTATCCGCCACCGACGGATGGCTCCACGGTAGTGTTTCTAGCTGGGTATGAAGCAGTTTACGATAATAGCTAATTGCTTGATCCGGATGACGGTTTTCAAATTGTCCATTTCCAATGACTGTTTGCGTACTGGTCAGCGAAGGATCTGTCAAAAACTTTCTCTGTGATTTCTTATCAGCCAATTTATGAGAGTGAAGTAATGTTTGGTCATAACGACATTTTTGTAAGTAAATATTTCCGATGATTTTGTACGTAGCATCCACTGATGACTCTTCCAATGGCTCTCTTTTTAGTTGAGAATTAAGCAACCGGTTAAAGTAGATTAATGCCTCATCCAAATTATGTTTTTCAAAGTAGATATTTCCAATGGTTTTGTATGTATCGACTAATGATGGGTCATCTAATGGTATTCTTTGTAGTTTGTTATCCAGTAGTTTATGAAAATAGAGTAATGCTTGATCCAAATCCCGTTTTTCCAAATAAATATTTCCGAGAATTTTGTAAGTATTCGTAAATGATGGGTCACCGGGTCGCTTTCTTTTAAGCTGACTATCAAGCAATTTATGGAAATAGATTAACGCTTGATCAAAGTCCCGCTTCTCCAAGCAAACATTTCCGATGATGGTGTACGTATCGGCCACTGAAGGATGTTTCCATGACAGTGTTTCTAGTTGTGTATCAAGCAGTTTACGATAATAGCTAATTGCTTGATCCAAATGGCGGTTTTCAAAGTGAAGATTCCCAATGATTAGTTGTCTATCGGCCAACGAAGCATCTGTCAAAGACTTTCTTTGTGGCCCATTATCAAGCAATTTATGAAAGTGAAGTAATGTTTGGTCATAATGACGTTTTTGTAAGTAAATATTTCCGATGATTTTGTACGTATCAGCCACTGATGACTCTTCCAATGGTTTTTTTTGCATCTGACAATCAAGCAACCGGTTAAAGTAGATTAATGCCTGGTCAAAATTACGTTTTTTCAAGTAAATATTTCCAATGGTTTTGTACGTATCGGCTAACGATGGATCCTCCAATAGTTTTCTTTGCAGTTCGTTATCCAGTAATTTCTGAGTATGGATTGATGCTTGATCCAAATCCTGTTTTTCCAAATAAATATTTTCGAGAATTTTGTAAGTATTCGTTAATGATGGGTCACCGAATCGCTTTCTTGTAATCTGACTATCAAGTAATTTATGGAAATAGATTAACGCTTCATCAAAGTCCTGTTTTTCCATGCAAACATTTCCGATGATGACGTACGTATCGGCCACTAAAGGATGTTTCGATGACAGTGTTTTTAGTTGGTGCTCAAGCAGTTTGTGAAAATAAGTTAATGCTTGATCAAAATCACGTATCTTCAGGTAGAGATTGCCAAAAGTTTTATAAGTTTGCCCGAAATCAGGATGATTTTGCGGAAGTGATTCCGTCTGTAACTGAAATGCCTTTTGAACGTATTTAAATGCTTTTTCTTCTTGACCAAGGTCTGAATACGCTAGTCCCAGAGCGCTGTAAGTGTATCCAAGATCAGGATGATCTGGCGGCAGTACTTTTAATTGAAGTTTTATGGCTTGATCGAACATGTTCGATGCTTTTTCATGCTCGTTCATTGCTGTATAGATTTTACCGATATCGATATATGTGTTTGCAATCAATGAATGCGCTGCTTTTGGTTGTTTTTCGAGGCACTTGTACTGATACTCTAATGCAAGTTGATAATTACCCATTTGGAACTGAACTTGTGCTAGACCAGAATAAGTTATTGAGGCGTTATTATTTTTTGTTTTTAATGCTTTCTCATAATGGATGAAAGCAAGTGAATGATCATTTTGATGACAATGAATAGATCCACAATCATTGTAACTTTGTGAAACGAGAGGATGATCTTTTGTTGTAGGATGTTTTAATAAATAATCTAGTGCTATGTTGAGATTTACTATAGCTAAATCATCATCACCCTTCTTGTTATTTACTTGAGCAAGCCCATGATGACATAACGCCAGATCTAATTCACTGAAAATTGATTTATTATTCAATATCTTCTGATAGTATGTTTCGGCTTCGTCGAATTTTTGCATTTGAAACAGATAAGTACCGAGTGATACTGTCTGATTTTTCCCCTCTAATTGCTTTTCTAATGTGGATGTGAATTCTGCGAGATCCTCATCGTAATCACCACACAGTGTCAATGACGCTCTCCACAGTTTCAGTTCTTTATCTATCCAAATATTATCAATACGGAAAATACAGCCGAGCATAAAAAGAATTTCTTCTTCTTTGGCAAATGCACTTAGATGTTTGATATCGGCATAACGTTGATTCGAAAATTCTGTAACGACATCGATTTCCAGTAAGATAGTTGTTAGTGTATCTGAAGGTGGCATTTTACTGACAGCAAATTCTATGGCTTTTTTTCGATTTGTACTTGTTGACAAAAATGAATTCATTGAGACCAATTGACCTTTAGCATGTTTCATTCGAAGCACTTCTTCTTTACTTATAAGTTGTCCCCGATAGACTTGAATGATCGATAATCCGCGCTTTTTTGTAAATACCATATGTTCATGTGACAATTGCGAAAACAGATCACGAATAAATGAGCGGAAAACGAATATATCCGATATACTTTGTGTTCGCAAAGCTTTATTAATTAACCGATAAATACATGTATCGCGTGTATACCAATTAATGGCCTTACTTTTATCATATTTAGTATCGAATTCGACCATAACTTCTTGGTCGATTTTATCTTCCGGTTTAAAATGGTCAAGAAGTCCTGATCTGGGGGCAGATTTCACTTCCGTTAGTAATTCTTTGACAATAAGTTGATACAGTATGAATTCGCTGTTCAATGATTGATGCATACTCTGCATATCTTTTGAACTGAAGACGGCACTGCCCGTTGTATCGGAATGTTCGATATGCTCAAATATCGATTTACCGCGTGACATTATTTCACAAGATTATGCAACTAGAAAAGAAAATGAGAATAGATTAAAGACGAACATTTCACCTACAGACAGTTCTTTGATTAACGAATTGCTTTAAAAACGTCTGTCCTAGTGTCTGTACTAATCCCAAGTGCTTGAAAATGTAATGCTACAAGTATATTGCATTCTGATCGGTGATTTACATATCAAGTGTCTGAGCCAAATACATGCATGCTTTCTAGTATTTAAAATCACTGCATCCACTACGATAATTGGTTTTAAAGCAAGCATTGCAAAATGCTGTTGTGTTGCTTGATAGAAAGGACGATATTTTCAAAAGTTGTTCTAGCAAAAAAGGTCAGAATTGTATTTTCATGTAAATGCACTACGAAATTCATGTCCAGAATGCAAAACTACCTCCGAGATTGTCTCTATTGCGTATGATTTATTCTGAATGTCGATTCGGAATGACTTAACTACAGCTAGAAAGTATTCACCAAGTAGTTGAATACTACTCCAAGTGTATGCCAAAGGTACTTGAACCAGTATGCAGGTATTCTTCGTCAACTAATTGAATTCTAGTGAAGCACTTGAGTAAGTATTGGACAACATAAATTACTGCTTAAGATGCTACGTACCTTCTACGTTACAGATTCAAATCCTTGAACAAATACTTGAGAACAGTATATGCAGTAAAGTAATTTACAGAATCATCAACCGTGTAACTCCAGTTTTGTTCGGGACGAATCTGAGGAGATTCGATGATTGAAATAAACTGTGCTCTAATAAGAAAACCGAATTTTCTAAACAAAGATTTCTCGATCTGCTAGACACACCTGCACTCTCCAGGAGATGACCAAAAGCCGATATTCTCTGGCCTGGTAAGGAAGTACGCCGAAAAATCGGTCGAGAGGTGTTGCGAAGCCAACACATAGAACGTTACTAGAAACCGTCCGTGAGTGGATTGACTCCAATAAAAAGTCGAGATATATCGGGAGCCTCAAAAGGATCTTCTTCGCCACTGGGAAATGATGAATTCAGGAGTGTTAGAAGTAACGGAAATTTAGAAAACACATTACTGGAACACCCAAAATTTCTCTTTACAGAAATCGGAACATCGCTGGAAAGTTAAACCGAATCCGTTCCGAAAAGTGCTCCACAAATTGCGAGTGTGCGTGGGGGATCAAAGATAAAAAAGAAAAAAAAGTCCTTCCCTTCCAGTGGAAGTTAAAATTTTTTATACCCCCCTCCCCTACGTTGACTTCCTACTTACGGCCCCGCGCAAAATTCGCTAGTCTTTCTAAAAACGGCTGCACTCTTAAAAAAATCGCGATCGCTGGTAGTACTTGCAAAAAATTGTGACACTCTCCGAGAAAAATTTCCAGCCATCCCTCAAAATTGCGCTTCCCGTGCTTCACAGCTTTAGGACAATCCTGTGTTCTTCTTTGGCGGGGTTTTGTCAGGTGTACATGCTTATTTTAATCTAACTCATTCTTTAACAAGAAAAGAGTTAAAGTTACGAATGAACAATATTAATCTGATTTTCAAATAAATTCAAAATAAGAACAAAAATTGATTTAGAGCCTATAGTTAACAAACAGAAATCGTACAGGTGCAACATAATCAGTTACCGGGAAAATGCTTTCTTCAGAGAACATCCAAATAGTTACGATAATCAGAAGATGCGTGGTTCGAGTCCTGCGGAGAAGGCATTCGTTTCTATTCTGCGATTATTCTATCTTGCTTCTGACTAGGACTGTATTACAATAAGATGGTCTTAATACACAATTCTGAAAAGTGTGTCCTAAAAGTCTCACCTCGATTAGTTAATAATCTCAGAAAACGATAAATCTCTTAGGATGCATTCAACGGCCTGTGTTCACGTTTCAAAAATCATAAGTCTGGCGTGACGCCTTGATCGGATTCAGTGATTCTTGTATGAAAGATAAGTGTTTCACAGAACTAAGTAATGATGGGTGACGGCATTTTTTAATGCCTTATTGTTGGAAAGTTGCGGAGCTTTTACCACAAAAAGCTCCAACTCATAATTTACAACTCACTTAGGAGACAATTAATCGAGACAGAGTTGATGCCTCAGACCTACAATAGGAGAGGAGTTTAGGGAGCAAACATTTCTCTATAAAATGAGCTATGGAGAATTTTTTCATCTTTTCGTGTTTTCTTGCAATCGTCTTTCTACGAAGAGCTCCATTTATCAGTTTCGATATATAACTGAAACCGATAAATGGGGTCTTATTAGATATTCTTTTTATAAGTGCTGGACAGAGATGATGATTGGTTTCGCAGCTCAATTTATACAGAAATGCCTGCTCTACCAAACTAAGTTGTGGGAAAAATTTAATATGTCGTACTCTTTGTACAATTTAGTTTTTGCGAAAAGTGAATACAAAAATCAGTTTTTTTAACCAGTGCATGCCTACATAAAATACAAGGTCGAGAATAGCGTGTGTATGTGATTATCTGTTGCATATACATGCACGTTCTCTTACCTGTATGGATGATGTAACAATGCAGAATATTTGTGATATGTAGTGTATAGGCAAACCTATGCTACTTTACGAACGAACAATTACTTCTGTGTATCTCCTTGAAAAGCATAGATTGACGCGAACAACAATAAATCTCATTGGCAACACATTTATCACTCGTTTGCTTCGACGTGGCTGTATATTTAAGTATGCCTGTTAGTTAGCGTTGAACAAGATTTTTTGATTATCCTTAAGCAGACCTGCCATCCCCAAAGGTGTCGAATGGGGTACGCTAGGGTACATTTTTTTCTAAATGGATACACTTGTGGAGGATTCCGGGAGCTTTCTTCATACGCGTTTGTCTTTTCATATAGGCATCAGATTTTGATTGGTAGACTGTGAGAGTGTCCGGATGAAATATGTTTGATTTGTTAGTTTTTCGGAATATTACTTGATCTTAGGATAGCTGCTTCTGTAGAGTCGAAATTGCATTAGAGAAGTGGGAATCGGTTTGCTGCCAACAAATTTGCTCTTCAATTCAGATGATACTCGACTAGTGAAAGTGTCAACTACAGGATGAGGGACATCGGGAGCACGAATTTCTTATTAAAAAGGGTTTGAATTTCGCGCCGCATAGTCTCAATCTCAGAAGGGAGCCGATGGATTGCGGTTGTCGGTTGAATGCTACGTCCTTATTTAATACATCACATTGATACGGAACTAGGTTAATAGCGTAGTTTTTCACTTGGGTTGAGAAGGAAATCGTCGTGAAATGCGGATGGATTTTCGGATTGAAATAACTTTAATAACTTGGTTTATGGAGGCGAACGGTTTTTGGCACCTTTCTCTAAAAAATGACATTTAAACTGACTATCCGTCCTTGAATTTTGCGACCCATAATCTTTTGCTAGCTGGGCTTTCAGTTCGTGACGTCTTTCCGTCAAATCTTGTATCAGTCGAAAATTCTCGTCCTCGTCGTGCGTTCGAAGAATCGTGGTCAGAAAGTCACGGTGTTTTTTCAGCGCTCGATCTATTAAAAGATTGTTGAGGCGTTTCTGATCGGTAGTTCGAAGGGTTTCTAAAAAAGAGGCAATGCTTTTTGTGTGCCAGGTGCCCAAAATACTTATTAGGCTATCTATCGGGTGCTTCACTTAAAATGAGGGAGACGGTGATGGATCTTTTTTGTCAGTTTTTTGAAAGGTGGTGTATTGAAAGAAGGAAAACAGAAAAGTGACAGAAAACTGGCTAGTATGACCTCATTTCGAATATTCTTTTTCAATAGACTAGCGAAAAGTCGATAATGGTTTTGGAATGAGCATAGTTAGAAGGAAAGATAAATATCGTTTCAGAAAAACCGGTGCTATCTTTTCGATTTTTACCATTCAGAAAAACACCTCTGCGTGATTTAAAATTTGTTTTTATTCGATGCAACATTATCAACTGTACAGAATAGGACAGTTTGTTTCTTTGGATCAGCTGTAGTAGCAGCTTCGGGATTTAAAATACAGCTATATGAAGGCAAAATATTATGACTTTCTTAGCTTTTTAACATGATCTCTCGAACCACTAATCGCGTTCCAGGTCGGAGCTTTCTTAATGGCACTATTTTTCAAGGCGTCCAGTTTTTCGAAAAATGGAAATGTATAAACCATAGTAAAATCTAAGAATTTTTTGAACATATCATCGAAAAGAGGGAAGATTCTGCATAGAACATTCATCTTACGAGGGAACTGCCCCAAGTGTCCGCTCACTTTTTTGTTGAAATCTAGTGGAGAATAGGTTATCGACTATGTTGATTCCGAATATGACAATGGTTTTTGCTGCTAGGCCTTCGGAGACCTGGTTTTCTAGAAAACCAGTTTTTCAGAAATCCCAAAAAAAT